AAGACCATAAGTCTGGGGGTCCCAACCGCCACCCCGGCTATCACGTCAGCCAGCTCAGGCAGGGCTGCTGATACATAGCAGGGAGCCAGGTATATAATCAGCAGGCCCACTTGAACCCCTTGCCCCCATTTCACAAGGAGGGACTCCACACCGTCTATCTGAGGCACAGTGGTCTCCCTAGGACAGAGGCTCTCCCTTAGATTTCTAGTCCACCTTTTTTACATATAATGCAAGGCAGCAAACAGAATTTAATACTCCTGCCTCACCCTTTCCTAAGAACAATTCTGTGAGGTGGATTGGGCCGAGTGACTGGCTCACAGTCACCCAGCTGACTTTCATGACTAAGGCGGGAAGAACTCAGTTTCCTGATTCTAGATCAGCACCTTAATTGTGACACCAAAGTGGCTCTCAACTTACTTGAGCCCTGTGATGCTAGGCACAAAAGTGGCACAAGATGGAGGCTTCTTCCAAACAGGCTGCCATGTAGCAGGGGAGCAAGGGAGGGGATGATGAATGCAGAAACAGGTTTGGAGGCTCTTGGCAAAAGCCAAAGGTGAGTCATTTGAGAAAATAAGAGCACAGCGGACCAGCCTAAGGCCTGAACATGAAGGAGAGATCCTCCTCCTCAGATTGGCAGAGTGACATTGATGTGTTCTTTGTTATGCTACAGACCATAAAAGGCTAGCGCTGTGGCAGAGTCTTTCCTGCACCGAAGACCCACCTTACAAACTCTTAAAATATAGAGTTCCCGGTCCAAAAAACCCTATCAGAATTACATAAGTCCCAGAAGGAAGAGCAGGGATTGGATCTTATTCTTGTGCAGCTGGGAAGCGTAAATAGGAGGGATGGAGGATACAGAGCCTAGCTTGTCCTCTCACACAATGAGCTTCCATAAATACTGAAGGCAGGGTTGAATAAAGTGGACAGCGATTGAGGTGGGAGAGGGATTCGGAAGATGGTGGAATAAAAACCTGGAGGGAGGTCTTTTGCCCTTCTGGTTGATTATGCTCCCCCCCCCCATGCCAGTTCAGCATTTGGGATCATTACCAAATTTTAACTTCTTCTGGCAGACTTCCTGGGGCTGGCAGAAAGAGCCACTAAGTCAGGTTAACCAGGCCTGCCTGGGTGGCTACTCATTCTCCAGAAGCTGCAGCTGCAGAACCCCCACTTCACTCCCTGGCATGTGGCCAGCATCTGGCAGAGGCGGTGGCTCCAGCTGGAACTGGGTCAACTCACAGCAGGAGGGGTCTTTGACAGAGGGCCCACCTTCCAGGCTTTTACTCTTCATTTCAAGTCAATGAAAAAAGGACTGGAACCAACCTTCTCCGCAAGCTCATGCAGGATACCACAAGTTGGGATGTTAAATAAGCTGTACAGTATCCACACCATGCTAGGCCACTACACAAGTAGCCACAATTTACTTTGCAGTTTGCACAGTTTACACAGCTTAGTGCAATGTGTAAGTGTGGCCCTGTTTATGTAGGAACCAGGATTTCAGTCCAAGCCGCCTCCAGCTCCACAAAGATCTTGGCACCCTTCACACAGCCAGCAGTCGGCTGTCCTCCCTATGCAAATTGCTCTCAGTAGCTGGGAACAGGTGCTCTTTATCTAAATTCTTACAAAATTAGTTATTTTATTATTGGCAGTACAAATAAGACACACTCCTGTAGAGGGAGAATGAGGGGGAAATGGCGCCCTGTTTCATAGTCTTCGCAGGAGACCTGCTTCGTTTCGTGCTCTAGGGAAAGGCAACAAGCAAGAGCCAAAGAAATGACAAGGAGCAGCCAGCAGCTCCATAAGGTGCGTTCAGCAGGTGGCTGGGAGGGAGCCCGCTTTCAAGAAAGCCAAAGGCTGAAAGAACGTTTCCTTCAGAGGCATCAGCAAGGGGTGGGGAGCTTCTCCAGGGGAAAAAGTGGGGAAAGCAGCAGGGAAGGAGCTGGCCTCTGCCTGACAGGTCATCTTCCTGCCGACCAGCGCAGCTGGACCCCTGGTGCCCAGGCTCCCTCTGGCTGACCTCCAGGCTGGGTGGTTTCAGCAAAGTTCTCGTTTGCCAATGAAGGGAGTTGCCATGCTGATCAGCTAAAGCAACTTATCCGCTGTATAAATATAGAGTTTCTATAAGTGTGTGTGTGTGTGTGCGCGCGCGTGCGTGCGTGCGGTATATATATATATATATATGTATGTGTGTGTGTACACATGTATGTGAATGTATATGTATATGTATATGTACATAAACAGCAGGCAGATGTCCTTGGAAGATGGGAGCCAGCAGACCCCCAAAGCCGTGTTTCATCTGCCAGAGAATCGTGGCTGCCTGGCCTTCGAGGGTTGGATGCTGGAGGTGGGGGGGGGCACGTTGAGGGGATGTTCCGGGCGCCTCTAGCTGGACGAGATGTACAGCGATTGGGTTTTGCGGCTCCTCCCCGGCTTGGTGTTGAGAATGTCCATGCTTTTGCGGCTGGAGCTGACGACATCTGTGACAAAGCCAGAGCAGTCACGACAAACGTCCTTGAGCACTGACCCATGAGCATAGATGCAGGGGAACTCTTCCTCCACGCTGCGCCAGTGGGTTCCCTGCAGGGAGCTGGAAGGCAAAAATGGGGTGCTCTGACTGGGGTCCTTGCTCTGAGGCAGCTATGGCCCTCCCTCCCCCCCCCAGGGCCAGAGTAACCTCAGCTGAGAGGCTTTACTTGGTTCAAAGGTCTGTGGCTCCAGGATTAGGAAGCACTTAGGGTAACCTGCTGGGATACCTAACTTACTTTATGGGATATCCTTAAACCATGCTTTACAAGGTCCTGCCTTACTATTGGGTCTGGATCTTGAGGGAGATCAAGATTATGCATCGCACAATCATTAAACTATCATCCCTGGCCCTCTGCAGTCCTTCAGCGATTTGAAAGAGCTGCACCATCAGCCAGGAGGTCTTTCACAGACTTTGGATCCCTTCCATTTCTGAAGCCAAAAATCTCTTATCCATGAATGAAAAGGAGATGGGGGCATATCTTCGGCTGATGCCATATTAAAACTATTGTTGGTTAGCGTCTTAGTATGCTTGGGCAAATGCAACAGTTGTAGTTTGCAAACCTATCCGACTGTGGTTCAAACCTCAGACTGTAGAGAATTGAGGTCCTCTACCTGCAGGCGCCTGCCTTAAACCAGTGCTGGGACTGCAGCCCCCAGAATTCCCCTTCAGCTGACTTGTCCCAAAGGTGCTTTTTCAGGAGGGCAGCTGGACTTCGTTTTTCTTTAAAGACGTTTTGCTTCTCATCCAAGAAGTTTCTTCAACTCTATTTGCTGACTTGATTGGTTTGAAATTCTGATAGCTCACCCCTCAACCTGTCTAGAAATGGAGTCAGAGACAGCTGCCCAAGATGATTGGAGCAGAAAAAGTCTGGATCTGCCAACCTCAGCCTCAGGACTCACTTGCTCTACTCCTGACTGGCTTGCTGCTGAAGGAGCATCTGCACATCCTAAACAGCCGAGGAGGAAACAGAAGAGGAAGAAGGAAAAGAAGCACCACCTACTGGAAAGTCTCCTGCTGGCGGGCTGGGGAGCCCTTGGCACCCAGAGAGCCGTGCAGCGTCTCGAAGCCCAGGGCGTAGACAGGGATGTGGGCAAGCTTCTTCGAGGGCATCTTGATCTGGAAGGGCCAAGCAGGAGGGACTCAGTGGAGGGCTGGGCTGCACCACCCAACTCACCAGAAGATTGCGCCGAGGGATTTTGCCTTGGCTGTGGGAGAAAGCCCTTACCTTCAGGCTGCAGGAGCTGCAGACAGACCTAAAAGCAACGGAGGAAAGAAAAGGCTCAGCTGGGAGCCCCATTCATCCCATGGTCTCCCCAGCAGGGTGTTTTCTTACCTCTTGCAGAACAGGCAGGTTGGGGGCCAGGAGAAGAGCGTAAACTTGGTTTGGCAGCAGCAGCAGCTCTGAGCCAGAGGAGAGACAGTCAGCAACAGCTCCTCTGGGGGAATGCCCTCCCCCCATCCCCCATCGCTGCAGCCCCAGGAGCCCCTCTGGCCTCACCTTCCCTTTCTTCAGGCTGGTGTAGAGCTCCTTGCTCTGAAGAAACTTCTCCATCTCCGCCTTCACCAGCACCCGGCGCACGTTGATCATTTCCTCCACCGTGAGCGCCAGGCTTTCTACGGGGTGGCTGAATTCCTGCTGTGGGCGGCAGAGTATAGGAATCAGAGCTGCCCTCAGCCAGGCCAGCTGCCCAGAACTCTCTTTGTCCCAGGCAGAGAGGGCTGTTCAGGTCTATTGCAATTAGGACTCCAGTAGAAACATCAGCCCTTACAGCACACCCCCTTCCTCCGCTGATCAGATCTCAACAGCCAGGGAAAGCTGGAAATAGTCTAGTATCTCACAAGATTTGGAGAAAGGCTGGCTTCCATTGGGAAGAAAACAAAGCATACAGATCCATGCAGAATTGGCCCCTAAGAGCAAAACGTCAAATTGCCCAGAGGAAGACGTGCCACATGCTCAGGTTCTAACTCCAGAAACAGTGGAATTGGAACCATTGCACTTGCAACCCTCCTATTAAAGTTCTTCGGTGTTGCCATTTCTTGACTCATTTCCCTCTGGGCCATGCTCCTGGGACAAGGACTAGGCTTGGGGGGGGGGGGGAACCCAGCCTCACGTATCAGAGGCCATGCCGGAAAGCATGTGTGGAGGACCACACCACCCAAGATGCTTACTAGCCACAAATATTTCAAATTGGCATCCGTGACCGGAACAGAACTGGCCTCCAAATTCTCCTCTACAGAACCGAGGTTGTCTTGTTTACGAGGACACGAACCAACCCGAGGGTGGTAGCGAGCCGGAACCGATCCTGAAGGAGAACAGAAGAAAACTGGCAGTCAGTATCCACCCAGCAGGGAGAACAGGCCCTCCTGCTTCCCATGAAGACACAAGGTGTATGTAGCTGAAACAAGAGGCAAGCCAGAAAATCAATAGCAGCCAGACCCAGCTGATGTTCACAAATGGAAAACTCCAGCACCCGGTGCCCTCCCAGCTGCTATGCGAAGGAGAGGAACACATTCACACCCAGGCCGAACTAATTAAAGGCTGCTCCCCCAATCTTCTCAAACTCTTTCTCACTGGATTTGCAGGGGTCCTCAGAGCGGTTGGACGGCAACTTGTCCGCTGGGAAAGATGGCAAGAAGGGGACCCACAGAGAATGGCTTCCCAGAGCGGGGTTGGGTCACAAAGAAGGGTTCACTTGCCCATATTTTCCATGCTGGCCCATGCAGCGGACATGGTACCTGAGCGAGGCCTCAGGTCTGACAGGCTGGGCCTTAAGTACTCCTGGTGAGGCTCGCTGCTATCACTTTCACCCCGAAAATGGGCCAAGTCTTGCTCGGAGAAGGAGCGGTCCCGCTTCAGGGGCATCAGGGGTCCCGGCTCCTGAACCGCCTCTGAGCAGGGAGACTCTTCTTCCTGCCAAAAAGGGAACACTCAGCACGCCTGCAGAAATGCTGGCACTCAGACTGCCTCCCCAGGCACAGCCCCCCAGATCATAACAGGGTGGCATTTCTGCCCTCAAGGGGAAGGAACACGAGCCAGGGCATACATGCACAAGTAAGAGGCCTTTGGGGTATGGTGCCCACGGCCACAGACGGTGGCAGAGCGGTAGGTTTGGGGCAGAAGAAGAGGAGGCCAGCAGGACAGGACTGCAAAGTCCGCTCAAGGTCTGTGCCCATTCCAGCAGGCTGAGGAGCTCTTCTTGCCCAGAAAGCAGGAGACAAAGCCCAGCTCTTACTTCAGAAACCAACATCTCCTCCATCTCTGCCAGTGTGGGTGCCTTCAGCAGGACCCTCGGCCTCTGGCGCTGAGCTGGGGCACCGGACTCTGAAACGGAGAGGTTGATGCAAGAGGTCGACTTCATGTTGCTGGAGCAGGCATTCACCAGGCAGGGCAAGGAACCAAACCCTGGCAGGGCGAGAGGAGAGGGCACGTGGTGGCACCAACTATCTCCTATGCTGGGTATGTAGGAAGCTCCAACCTGGTCTCCCTTCTAACAAGTGGACTTATAATAGCCCAGCTTTCTCCAGTCTGGCACTGGACTTCAGATTGTCCACCCAAAGGTCAAAATGGGTCAAAGCTGCAGGGCTGAAGGATGGGACACCTAAACCATTTGGACACAAAATGTCTTCCCTTGAAGAGGGTTCCAAATCACTTCAGTCTCCCTCCTGTTTCCGTCTCCATTTTAGGTAAAGAGTCACAGCTGCATTCTCAGTCTGGAGCATCTTGGGGTGTCTATGGGACTATACTGAGATTTGGGAGTTTTCCCCAAGATCCAGCAGTTTCTCTCCTGCCTTTGTTGTCTCATCCCAAGAGGGAGCAAACTCGTATTCTCTAGTTTCCAGGAACCCTCCCCCCCCCTTTTTAAGGACACACACACCTCTCTGGTCCTGATGCTGCAATTCCACAGGCCGGAGCTTCCGTTCCTGCTTGATCTCCTCCAGGATCTTCTCATGGAGGGTCCTCTGCTGCTGAGGCATGGGACGCAGCCGGCGCTCGGAAGCCTACAATAGGATTGGGAAGCCAGAGAGCCTTGTTCCAACTCTGGAGCTGAAAGTGCATCTTAAGGCCAGCAAAATAGGTCCCTGATCTGCGGCGTTCAAGAAGTTACCGAATAACGGTAAAGCTAGCATGTATACTGGATTGTGACAGTCATAATGTTCACTTGTTGGGAAGCCGAGCAAAGCACCCTGGCCAGCTGCTGCCCTCGAGGTTCCAAACAATGCAGCTCTGCCTGGCCAGAACACCCCAGAAAGCAGCCCCAGCAGCTCTTTTAAAAAAATAATAATAATAATTTCCTATTGGGCAATCAAGGCAGGTGACAATCTCAAATAAAGGATGGATAGTAGAAGTGGTAAAAGCAATTAAAATGATTGTTAGTACAACCCCCAGAGTCCAACTAAGGATCCTTTCAATCCCCATCCCAGTAAAGTACAGAATAGCAGAACGTCGGCTTACCTGTCTCAGAGGCGGACGAGATCTTATGAAATCCAAAATGAGCTCATGGGCGTCCTTCTTCACCCGGGGCGGAATGTCTCCGTCCACCTGACGGATACCCATAAAGAAGAGTGAGCCACAGTGGCTCCTGTCCTCCAGGAGCCTTTAGTTACCTGGGACAGACTTCTGCTTCTTTCCAAAGTCCTGTCCATCTTGTCTGCTTTTGGAGTGACTTTTGTAAGGTTCAGGGGGAAGGGTTGCCAACACCCCATTTTAAGTGAGATAAGGGGCCAGGCCCACACGAAGAGGAAGGCACCAGAGAGTGGCCAAGCTGCCCAGGGCCATCTGGTGGCCCCAAAGAGGGAGGAGACGGTCCCTGTTCCTCTCACCATGACCTTGCGGAGCTTATAGTTGCGGGCTCGGATGTCCTGCATCAGCATCTCAAAAGGCGTCAGCTGATACTCCGTGGGCAAGGGGTCAAACTGTTTCTGCTGGACCTTCTTGAGCTTTACACCATTCCGCAGTTCTCGCATGAGCTGGACCCAGAGCCGAGCCTGAAAGCCACAAACCAACAATGCCACCAGGATTGGTTTCCCCCAAACTGTGATTGAGCCAGAAGAGACGCTGAGGACACCTCGGTGGGTCTTGCTCTGAGAAGCCAATCCTTCCTCCAAGCTTTCTCCAAGGCAAGCAATGCTCCACTGTGGGACTAAACGGACTGTCTCTCCCACAGGCGGGGAAGGTCTTGCTATGGGCAGCCCTGTGAGATTGTTCTCAAGGCCAAACCACAGCCATGACACAGCATTACTCAACAAAGCCTGGCCCCTTTCTGCAAATGTGTGTGAGAGGAGAAGCTGTGGTTGCAGAAGTGTATTTAAGAAAAATATATTGTTACTGAGCTTAACGTTCACATCAGGTGCACCTAGAGCAGCAAGGGGAGAAGACTGAGCTCTCCCCTCCATTCTTCTTGCTTCTTGAAGGGAAGCCGTTCCCTACTTAAAATATTTATACCCAGCCTCACCCAGAGAGATTCTGGGGTACCTTAAAAAAGCCCACCAACTCTATTCCCCTTTTCCCAGCCCGCTCCATACCCAGTCCGTGTTCCTCAGGTTATCCAGCTCTGCTGCCGATCGGTCCCTCAGCTCTTCATCTTCGTCCTTCAGCTTGATTAGCATCTGCACATTCCAAGACCCAGAAACGGGTTAGCCTTGCCTACTTCCATTGTATTAATGGCGGCATAAAAGTTATTAGATTGGACTGGGATTAACTTGAAGAGGCAGCCCCCTAATGACTGGGAAGGACCACCCAAAGCTTACTTTGGGCTGCTGGGGGGGGGATTAAATCCTTATTCAGCTGGATCTTCTGTGCAAGCAAGGAATGGAACAAGAACCAGCTTTAGTGTGGGAGAGGAGAGAGACGGGGCACAAATTCTCCAAATGAGAGTGACTGGTAGTTGTAATACTCCACACAAGAGCTAGAAGCAAAGGCAGGCAAAGAGAAGAGCAGCTCTTTTAAGAACAATCCACAGTGATCAAAACACGTGTGGCTCCCAGCCCTGAGGATGCCCAGGTGGGAGAAAAAGACAGCAGGTTGACCCTCGTCTTTCCTCCATGGATAGCTTGAGTCTTACAGTTTGCAATTGCTTAATGTAGCTGCATCCTTGAATCTCTGCCTGCTGGCCTTCCAGTTCAGGCACAGGTCTGGGAAAAGCTAGACAAGGTATGTGTGGATGCATTCAAGTTCTCACCAGGATGTGTTTGGCTGATGCTCTTCTGGAGCTCCCTTTAAGGTCTCCTCGCAAAGAGAGATGAATTCCAATTCTAACCTTCCCAGAAGCTGAGGGCACCCGTGTTACACTCCCATCTCTAATTTTTGTCTTTCTTTCTGTCACCCGGCCTTTCTCACTTCCACTGGGTAGGAGGCTTTAGAATAGAATCTGTTCCCTGAGTGACTAGTTCAGGAGGGTGGTGGTGGAAATGACTTCTCCATGAACTCTTTTCCACGGGAAAGCAGCACTTTTCCCTGGAGAGTGCTGGGCTGGAGAGTCGCTAATTAGCAGCTCTCATTAGCTACTCGAGGTTCCTCCCGAGAGATGCAGAGAGCAAGCCCACTTCAGGCAGCAGCCCTGGCTACCTCCATCCCAGGAGCTCTCACTGTGGGAATAGGAAGAGCCTCATCTGTGCCATGAGATATCCTGGCAAAGAAATGGGATGGTGCCCACCCTTCCACCCTCCTGGCTCTTAGTTGTACCAGCTGTGCAGAGGATAACCCTGACCAGATGCACAGCTCTAGAGGCAAGACCTGCAGGGAGACAGCAGAGACCCCTCCCCAACTTTGTTACAGATGGGAGGGCAGGAACAACAGGGCTAGGAGCTTGCCAGCATGGGGCATGTTGCTGCTCAGCTGCCACAGGAAGATGGAGTTCCTGCAGCACCCACAGAGCCTGAGTGGCACATTGCCATGGCTCAGCTGGGCAGCAGCCAGCGCAGAAGGCAGGTCAAGAGCTGCCCATCTCCCTGGTGCTTGCAGTAGATTTCCCAGGCCAAAGAATCTAAGGGACTGAATCTGCCCATCTGGATCTAATTCTTTTGGGGGGGGATATGGAGAATTCTTCTCAGCAAGGACCAGAGGATGGGCCTTCTTTGTGATACCTCCTTTTTCTGAAATGCCCTTCCCCAAGAGGCATGGGCAGCCTCTCACCCCTGCTCTTTGGTACCCAATTAAAGTCAGTATTCCTCCCACCAGTCTTTGGCCAGCTCTTCTCCCTGGGGTCATTTTAACCATCTTGATTATTTTATTCTCATTCCTTGCTGCTGAGAGATCTGTATTCCATCCAGAGTCCTGTGGGACTGGGATGCTGCTGAGTAGGATAAATCCAATTTGCAGATCTCCAGAAGCCAAGCAGCCTGGCACATAGGCCTCACCCAAGCAACTATCTGAGACACAAAAGAGCCTTTTTAACATCTGGGCAGCTGCTGTAGAGATGGTGAGGCTCTCCCTTTCCAGGGGAATCAGGTAAGAGACACAGGGCTGGATCATCCGCCAAAGATCATCTTCCCAGCTGCCAACAGGAGGCTCAGGGATCACAGATTCTGCTGCACAGCAAAGCCTCAGGAAAGCTGCATCACCAGGCGGAGGCCTAATGCCTGCTTGCCCACCAAGGGCAGCACCTCAGGAATGGCACCTGCAGATGGTCCACGACCCAGGCAAGCACCACTCACTTCCTTGACGTCCCGGATCTTGGCCAGAAAAGCCTTCAGCTCCACCGTCTCCAGGAACAACGCCCGGCACACCGCCTGGTAGTGAACGTGGGCCTCCTGGGGCTGGGAGAGGCGGGCAGCACAGAGCCGCATCACTTGGCTGAATGTGCGGACGGCACTCAGGGTCCCCTTGGCCACCGCCTCCTCCTCTTCCTCCTGCCCGCTGTAGCCTTCGTCTGCAGTGCTGCTGCCATTGCCGCTATCCTCAGAGTCGCTGTTGGCCATCAGATCGATCAGCCGCTCCAGTTCGGGACTCAGCTCACGCTCCTCATTCTCCTCCAGGCCCCAGTCAAGGGCCCGGTAGATGACAAAGCCCAGGGACTGCACCACCTGCAGGGCAGGAAAGAGGAGGGGGAAGTTAGCCGACGAGAGAAAGATACGGCTTAGCTTACATCCAGGGGGCTCTTTGCTTCGAGTGCTGATTAAACAACTCTCTCATCCACACCTGCCAATGTGATTTCTCCAGAGGATGGGTGGGCACAGTGGCAATGCCAAGTAGCACCCAGGCCGGGGGGTGCCAGGGTGCTCAGACCCTGACAGCTTTGGGGAGAGGGGGCAAAATGGGTCATCTGATCTGCACATGCTGAAGTTTTTCATACTTGCCAGTGCTTTGCTAGTGAAAGCGACATGACAAAGGTTCAATAATTAGCTTTTTAAGAGACTGTTGGGTGGTTATCCAGTTCCAAAGGCCTGTACGAAGAGAAGATGAGCACAGCCACCTACCTGTGCTTCTGCTGCAGGTGCCAAGGTCAGCGGAAGCTCTGCAAAGAGAAGACACTGTTAGAAGATGCCAGTCTCAGAGAGACAGAGAGTGCCCGGCTTTGTCAACTCTAGGCAGATTTATGGACCACCTATGTATCCGAGTCCATCCTGGACCTGGGCCAGAACCAAGCAGGTTTCACACTGATGTCTCTTCTTTTGGTAACAGGGCAGAGATGCCAAATGGATAGAGTCTACTTTATTTTGGGTGGTTAAATGGGGCGTGGTTCACTGTATGTCGGGTTTGGTACACAGAGGCCAGCTATTCACAAAACAAGTGTGCCTGTGTGTGCAAATGAGAATTCTTTCCCAGGCTCAATTAAAGCAAGTAGCATGTTGGGTTCACACATGCAGGTGCTGCTTTGAAACCACAAGTGTAAAATATTGTGTGTGGGGGGGGTAGAGGATGGGAGCTCGGAGAGGAATGGAAAAATGCAGAAGGCCAGAATTTACAAATGGAAGAAGAAAAGAAAAAAGACAGATTGTAGCCAGGGTAAATGCTATGAAAAGAATACCTCATTGTATAAAGGACTTCTAAAAACAGAACTTGTAAGATGCTGGTAAAAGGAACTTTCCCGGTGCATTTAAGACCAGTCTGGAAGCCATCTTAGCATATGCATGCACACACAGCCAGTTCAGACACCCGTTTCCTGCTATTTCCCAATCAATCATCCATTTAAAGCCCCAAATGTCTCTCTAGGGAGGTGACAAGATGTCCAACAGCCCCATTTCACAGCTGTGCTTTCTCTTTGGGGACATAAAAGTGCAAGATGGACAGATGCGTTTGTGCCCAGGGAGACCTCTCTCCCCTTCCTTCTCTCTCCCCAAACAAACCCAGCTCTTCTCTCTAACTGCTGTCTCATTTATGTGACCGGGAGATGATGGGAAAGGAGACTGAAAGAAGATTCTAGGGGTCACCCTTCTCCGGAGAGAAGTACATGAACTGTAATCAATAAAATGAAGTTTGGCAAAGAAAGAAAAGAAAGAAAAAGATTCGGGCCATTAGGAGAAAGCAGAGAACCACATAATGCAGCAGCGTAAGCAGAGCCAAGTCCTCGGCTATTTTATCTTCCACTGCCTGACATCACACAGAGCCAAAGCTGGGGGGGGGGGCAGTGCAGGCCTTGCAGCTGTACCAGCTTTGTGGGCATCTCTACCGAGGCAGCCTCTTCTCCAGGTTCCTCTCTTCCTGCCATGGAGGCTGATGCAAAGCAGTGGGACTCCCTACCCTAAAGCTGATCTTACTAGAAGCTGACTCCGCTGAACAGTTGTGACGTACTTGGCACCTCCAACACAATTCCCTCTCAGTTTGTTTCCCCAGCCCTCGGATGGGAGCAGGTGGCACTTGGCATCAGTGTGTGCAGCAAAAAAGGTGAGCAGATCTTGCACAGCTCAGTGCTCTGGAAAACCTGTGAGAAATGCCATCAGTCGGGACGGGAGGTGGCTTTCTCACACTTGACTTTCTCTTCCCTGTTCGGATTCACATTCTTAAATTAATCAAAGTTACTATTTGGAAGGCAGAGTTCCTGGAATCTTACCATTCACTTTACCATTCTGAAGAGAAAAGCTGTACAAAATGCACATGTGCATTAAATTGGGAGAATTTGCTTTTCAAAAATGATGCATTAGGCAAAACTGAAAGAGAAGCACGTACTTTTGGATAAATGTGTCCCAAAATAGATACATTTTTGTGCAGATTTAAGAAAAAAAACTGAAGCAATGCAAAACTGTTAACCGAGTGCCTTTGCTCACGGCTGCTGATGTGCTGCATGCATTTTGATCCACGAATACACCCGATACCAGATTGAGGGCCAGGAGCAGCCTTGCCTGGAACAGAGGGCTTCTTTCTCTCACTGCTGCTGGAGGAGCCCCCAAACTGATGCTGCCTGGCTCCTCCCCGCCTGGACACCCACGCTGCCCGCAGGCAGGAAGTGTGGGGCTGCAATGAGTCAAATGTAGAGCAAGGAAGCCACCGGGTTAGTGACCCTCAACACCAGCCATGGCCATAACTCATCGGTTGGGCTTTGGCAGAGCGCAGAACTGGCTGGACCAGTTTGGAAGGCGGGCTGGGCTGCACTTCTAAGTCAATATTATCAGAAGCAACGGCAGTGGTGGCAGCAGCTGCCAATGGCCGGCTTCCCTGGAAAAGGCTCCCTAACAACAAGCTGCATCCTGGACAAGGGCAGAAGCAAAGAGCAGCCTAAGGAGGGACACTGCTGGCCTCTCGGCCATCCCAGCCGTGTGCCCGTCACTGCCCCTCGTGTTTGCCTTCGCACTGTTTAATTTAGAACAGAGGGATAAGCAACAATTGCCTCTCCTGGGTGTTGTTGCTTTTAAACACAACTTCAAGATACTCAAATAAAACCATGAAATGAAAGCATTTGCTTGGCAACAGGGAGGCACTGAAAGGCCGATGCAGGACTGAAGACTGGCTAAACCAGGACTAAGCCCAAGAGGGAGGAATCAGAGCGGCAACTAAGCAGCAAAACCCAATTTAGCAATAGGAAGAAGAAGAAAAGGTGGCAGTTGTGGAAGAAAGTGGATACACGAGTGACGGAGGAAACACTTGTTCCTTGACTGCATGAACATAAAACTCTGCTCCTGCCTTAGGCAGGGGGTTGGACTAGAAGACTTCCATGGTCCCTTCCAGACCTAGGATTCTAGTCTATGGAAAGTTTGGTCTGTTCAGGCATTGAGTTGATGCCATCAAGGGGAGGACATATGTCCACTCGTGCTTGTTCTTCAATGGGTGACCTTTAGGCGTCTGTAGTGGCTGGCATGCGAAGGTCCTGCTTACTGAGAGTACGGCCACTATGGAGGCCCTTCCTCAAAGAAGATTGCCTGGGCATTTCACATGTAAGTAGAGCCTTTTCTCCCTCTCCCACCCCACGTGATAAATCCTCATCTTTAAAAGGTGTTCTGGCTTTAACACTGTTTTGCAATTAAAACACTCCATAATGTTAAGGCCACATCAGTCACCATGGGACGTTCTTAGCAGTTCTCCCTTCTTGGCCCAAGTCCTAAGGTGAAGATAACATTGTGAACATCAGGCACAAATGTTGCTGTTGCTTCCCTGCTGCCTTTTGGAGAGGCTGGGAAGATCCCGTCATGGACGTGGCTTTGACACAGGTTTTCCTCACCAACTGCCTGCCCGATGAGGCAGCTGTGAGCATCCCAGATTGGTCACCTCTTACTCTGGGATGCCACCCAAGACCCAGGCTTGCCACCTGTCCACACTTCTTCCTCTGGGACTATATCACTTCACTCCTACGGAGCAGGACCCTCCTTGAGGCCCCTCTTGCGTCTTCTCAGAGGCCCTCTGGATTGAGGCCCTGGAAGACTGCCGTGCTTCAGCCCGCAAAGGCCACCGGCAGTTGGTGTAATTACACACAACAGACACCTGGCAGGGAGATGAAAGAGGCACTTCTGACCTCTGTGCTCATGCAATCAATGAATTACTCAAGGCAAGCCAAACCCCACCCAAGTCACTGGGGCAAAGGGGCAGATAAAGGGGCGGGTTGCTGAAGAGAAAGAAAGAGAAAGGTGGCTGTCCGGAAAGCCGGAAGCTCCCCGTGACACGGTTTAAGGAAGGGCTCCTCGATCTGCGCTGCTAGGATGTCGCATCTCACGTCACACAGAGACCCGCAGGCTGCTTCCCGCCTGCTGGGAAACTGTCGGCACCCCCGCTATTCCTTTCATTGCTCGGGGCACCCCTGACTTTCACGGGCCTGCTTTGGAAACCATAAAGGACCCAAACACGGACCATTTCCTAACCCCTATTGTATATTCTGCGGGGCGGGAACTAAAAAGGGGCGAAGCACCTTCGAGGTGCCGCACCGTCTCGCGGCCGAGGGATTTCGGGGTCCCGGAGGTCAGGGCCCCTTCTGCCTTGGGACCGCCTCGGGGCACCGCTGGCGGAGGGGGCTGATCGCCACCTCCTGCTCCGTCCAAGCAACGACCCCCAGCGCGGGGCCCTTCCGTGGACGCGGCGCCGGGTCCCCGAAGGGCTTTCGCTCCCCGGCGCAGCGGCCCCGCCGGCCTTCCTTTGCAGCCCGGCTCGCTCTCGATGCGGGCCGCCACTCCCCGCCGCGCCCGCTCCCCACTCACGGGCCTCGCCGAACTCGCCGCGGGCAGAGACGGCGCCGTCCTTGTGCAGGCGGAGGTCGGCGGTGTCGCGGAGGCGTCCGGCCGGTCCCCGTCGGCGGCGTCGCCTTTCCTCGGCGCCCGGCGGGTCGGGCTGGAGCAGCCCGCGGCAGCATTGGAAGCCGACGGCCCACGCCTGCTCCTCGTTGACGGGCTGCTCGTAGGCCTTCAGCACCTCCTCCAGGGACAGCTCCTCCGCCGCGGCCCCCGCCGCGTCGCGCCAGCCCCCGCCCGCCGCGGCCCCCGGCCCGGCCCCTGCTCCGGCGCGCGCCATGGCCGCGGCTCCATCACCGGCTCCCGGCGCCGGGCCCCATCGCGGCGGCCTCGCTGCTCTTGCTGCGCTTCCTCCTCCTCCTCCTCCTCCTGCTGCTGCCGCCGCCGCCGCCGACGGACAACCTGGGAAGGGGGAGGGGAGGAGGGCTGAGCCAGCCGCCTGTCGCCCCGCCCGCCGGAGGGAGCCGGGCCAGCCCAGGCCGAACGCCGCAGAGCCGGCCTCGGGGAGCGCGCCGGGCGCTTCCGGGCGGCCTCGAACCCGGGCGGAGGGCGAAAGAACCTGGGCGGCCCCTGCCGGCTGGAGCCTCCGGGGCAGCTGCTCCCCAAGTAGCCTTCAGGCGCCAGTTAGGTGGCCCCGGGAGAGCTTCCCTAGTCCGCAGCCCCATCCGGACTTAGTCTGGAGTAAGCATCCCAGTGGCGTTTGCTTCTGAGTAAGCCCGATTTCGGAGTGGGAGGCAACTGGAAAGCATTCATAGTTAGGGGAGGTGGGGAGTGAAATCACCAACACTGCCACCCCCCCCCCACCGCACAGCAATTATCTAAGGTTGGAGGGGAGGAAAGTCTAACCTTCTGTCTTGGGGGGGGGGGGAAGTCCGGCTGCAGCTGCCGGCTGAGGTTGCCCCTTCGCTTCCACCCTTTTACTGAATAGGAGACAACTGGCTGGATTCATACAGTTCCCCGTGGAAGGATTCACACTTGACACTAAACCAAAACTGAACCAACTATATCTGAACTTAGTAGAAAGAGCTAGCTGCCTTAATCTCTGGTGCCACCTTTGCAGACTATCACATGTTATTAAAAGGAAGAAACTTTTGTGAAGTGCAGCTCCAGTTCATGAAAGCCTATGCCTTTTTGTTAAACATGTTAGCCTGGAAAGGTTAGAATGGGGAAAGTAGTCTGTCTGTGCTCTGAAGCATCAGCCTTCCCTTGTAAAACAGGTTCTGGGGCCAAACCCCGGTGCCTTCCAGCTCCGACCAGGAGGGAGAACTCTTCTTCCAGGGTGGGGCTCATCAGATTAATTTCAAGCTCCACCTGTGAGCCTGGAGGGTCTGTCACAGCAGCTACACTATTTGAAAGCCTGCAGGGAGGCCCAGGGATTGACCGCCTTGGGCGGGTGGTTCCCCCCAGCAGCCAAGACCTGCCCTCCTTCCTTCCCAAATAACTGGGGGGGGGGAGGCTGTTTCTTCATACATAGTCCAGTAAGAGGGAGGGAAGGAGCAGCTGCCTTGGACCAATCCAATCCTGACCTATTAATCGCTAAAACACATTCCAGGAAAAACTCACTTTAAACCACATTTTCTACACCTGCAGGGAAATGAACTAACCTTTCAGAAACTTGACTCCTGCCTAGCTGTTCCCAGTAATAAGAAGAGTCATGAATGAGTTGCTCCCCCATAGAAAAACAAATAATTTGTTCAGAGTTCTCTCCTCCCCTCTTTTCAGAGAGTCCATTCTCACTCTCTAGCTTTTCCAGGAATAACATTTTGTTGCTAGGAAGATGCAACATCTGTTAACCATAACAGCAATGTGTCTGTGTGTACACACAAACACATGCAGCAGCCACATTAGTTAAGAGATTTTTAAACTCAAGGCCAGAAGAGTTTATGTAGCTCTTCAAAGCCCACAGCTTATCTACTACATACTTGTTCTAGTTACGTCCCCAAAATATTTGAAAATTACACATTTTAAGTGCAAACTTAAAAAGGCTGATTTTCAAGACCCCAGAACCAAACTCTGAACATCACATACCTAAACACGGTTCCATCAAAAGTCTTTCTCACAAAGGCCAACCCAACAGCCCTCACCTGCTCTCGCTAAGATTTTTTCCGTGAGCAAGGAGGAGACGTTAATAAACAAAGTCCTCCTACTGATTAGTGGGAGGGATGGGAAATTGGGCATAATCACAATGTTAAAGAAACAGGCAGGTGATAGGCAAGTGAAGTTGGCTGCATGGGAGGAGGAGGAAGAGGAGGAGGAGGAGGAACACTCAGCCTTCCTCTTTAATGATCCTGGGAGCCATCTCCACCAGTGGTTATAGAGGTCACAGCCCTTTGAAACGGCAAAATCAGGGCAAAATCAGGTGGTCCACGGAGGACTCATCTCTCCCCCCCCCAGTTCTTTGCCTGTCACATGATAGTTTAATGCAGTTTCCCCCTCCCCCCAAATTCTGGGACCCCCTCCCCCATTTGTTGAACTACAACTGCATTGCTCCCAGATAAGAAGGGCTTCTAGGATGGAGAAAGCTAGACTAATTTATCTGTTTCTTTAATTTATTAAATGTATTGGTTACCCATCTTACAACAGGATAACTCTGGGTGGCTTACAATATTAAATCAGCTTCATACTCCATACAGATAATTTATTTAGATGTTTTGATGTTACCATCCTATTTATTTTACAGGAGGGAAGGAGTTGTTGTTGTAAGCCACTTGGAGTCTTAGATTGGCAGAAAACTGAGAACTGCAATAATTGAATGACCTGTTAGTGTAGTATATTTTCGAAAAATGCACAAGAGAAAAAACATCTTTTGAGGACTGTGTTTACTCTGCTTTTAACCACAGCATTGGAGGGGGAGGTGATGCTTTGATGTTATTATCAGCATCTGGAGAAACAGAATACTTAGGCTCTGTTTGACAATTAAAACAAGCAGCAAGTGTCTGTAAAGTGGGATTACAGCAAAACTGGTAAGGGGATTATTTTTAGCCTAGAGTTTGGTGTGTTCTGCTGGCTTCGCACAAACTCTTCCAAGCTGTATTTCTCTCTCTCTCTCTCTCTCTCTCTCTCATACACACACATATAGACATACCCCAGCTGAATGCAGCCCATTTTTACTTCCTTGCTGTAGAGGAGGGGTCCCCAATCCCCAGTCCATGGAACCAGTACCAGGCCTTGGCATGCCAGCAAACAGCCTGCACAAACAAGCAAAGCCCCATCCGTGGGATGCAGGCAGCCCACAAAACCATGCTCTCAGATCCGTGGAAAAACTTTTCTCCACGGAACCGGTCCTTGGTGCCCGAAAGGTTGGGGACCTCTGCTGTAGAGCATATGGAGTCACACCCCAGCTTCCATTCATCCTGAAGGCTTCAGAGTGCAGCCCTCTGGTGGACCCACACATACAATGCCCTTTTTACCTCTGAGGCCCAACCAGGAGCAGCAGCCCTCCCTTCCCTAGGGAGTCCAGCGGAGGCTTTTGAGGGGGGGGGGCTGAAAGAAAAAGAGTTTCTTCCTTGTCCCACCAGATCAAATCCATCTGGAGAGGCCTGAAGCTAGGACAGCAGAGGGTGGGGGCTTTCCTGGAGGCTAAAGTGTGGAGTGGGAGGGATCTTTGAGCTGGACTCCTCCTTTTGGGGGAGGGGTGATCCAGCAATGCCGATTCTGATCAGCTTCAGATCTCCACTCTCTGGGCAAAGGCTGATCAAAGAGGTCCTCTTCAGTGTCCTTAAGATCTGCAGATAATTCCCTTTGAAGCAATGACTTCACCCCCAGTTCAATTTCCAGGCTCTACATTAATGGTTTAATTAAAAAATCACACTTTTATCAGATTAAATTAACATGCATTAGCTCAGAGTCATCAGCCTCATGGTGATATTTAAATAGTAGAGAAACTAAAAGTGTCCAGCCAGGCTGTGGAAAGTTTCAAGAAAATTAAAAATAAATCAGGAATTCCTAGTGGTTTCCAGTTAAGTGGAGGCAACCTCGGCTTGAGGAGTGGAGATGTTCCCAGGATGATGTGTTAAAGTCAGCAGCCAAGATCAAACAGTCATTATGGGATTGTGCAGCCGGACAGTTGTGTGCTTCACCTCCTTATTTCTGTGTAAGTGTAGCAGATGACTAAGTTCACTTGGTAAGAATGGGTTCAAACAATGTCAAGCCATTGTGTGCTTTCCTTGTTTCTAAGGTGTTCTGTGAAACCAGCCAATTGCAATGTATTAAATAAATTCTGGTTAAAGAAATAATGGTTTGACACGTCTGAACAAATTCCCCAAATGGCTCTCTCCTCAGAGGTTTCTCCCAGCAAATCAATGCACCATTGCCCGTTTTCCTTTTTCCCTCTGGGCGCCTCTCCTGCAGACAGCAGTCCTGCTCCTGAGCCCTGAAGCTCAGGGCTTCAGCTACAGATCAGGCTTGGAACAGCCCCTGTAGGCTAAACTCAAAGGAACTGGCCCCTGGCAACGGGAAGGAAGACCCCACAGGCACAGCAGCACTGGATTTTGGCTTCAGGTCCTGTGCTCACATCTCACACTGCAAAGGCAGAGCCTGTTATGTTAGAGGAGCCAAATTGGGGGGGGGGGGGAGAGAGAGAGAGCAGCTCTTCCTTCTGTGTGAACTAGGCCAACCTAGCCAAGTCTAGTCCAAATCACCTTTCCCTAGTAAGGCAGCCTTCGCTCCTGGCCAATTATTTGCCCAGCTGAGGCATTCTTTCCCTGCTCCATCATTTACAGTGGCCAAATACCCTTATCATCTCCTTCTCCTTTTGTTAGCATTGCTGTGGCAACCAAGGGAAAATAGGAAACCACTCCCTTGCAAGACTGGTTTCCCCCCCCTCCTCTCACTGTTAACCTGAGATTGCAAGAAAAAGACTTGCCCCATTAGCAACACCCCCTCCCCAACTACCTGCCCTTGATAGTAGTCTGTTGTAGAAAAAGACGGAAGCTCCGCCTTGCACGCACCTGTGGCAACCAGACTGATCCGAGGAACCGCAGCTCCGTGCAGACTTCATTTTAGGCTTCGTTATTAGCATTTTGAAAAGTGATATTAGCACTTTAACAAGTTCTCTCTTAAAGTATGAGAGAACTCGTCTTCTCAGATCTATTCAGGAATACTATATTCTGAGAGTCCTTGAATTCACTTGCAACATTCAGGAAAGATACAAACCCAGCTGGGAAAGAATCCTGTAACCCATAAATTTGCCACTTGTGGAATGTTATTTAGAATCAATGTTTTCTTTTGTTCATGTTTCTCATGTAACCAATGTCTTTGATCACTTGCTTGCTGAGGTAT